CATCCCAGTTTGGGTAAATGCAAAAAAATCAACTGCAGAATAATCAAAGATCAATTCATAGTTAAAAAAAATCGTGATTGATGCTAAATAACCGTTAATAATCAACCCTAAATGACCCCATTTGTCATAATTTTTTTTAACTTTGAATCAATTCCATAAAATAATTATTCGGTAATTTTTTTTTTAATTCTCTAGATATTTACACACACGTAATTCATCCAAATGATATCCCCATCTTCAAAACATTACCTAAAAAACATTAACATTGTAGGAAAGGTGATTTTCAATCGATTGAATCATGATTTTCAATATGATACTAAAAATAATTGTTGGCTATTGTTGACTACCATAATCTCTTTCATACTTCAGTGGATAATGTGTATACTTTCTCCAAAATATACCTTTATGTTCGGAAAATATCCACACAAAAAAAAGGATATCGTAGGAAATGTACGACACACAATGGGTAAATTGGGTAACTGTGGTCCCCACCATCCCTACAAAGTCAAACAACCAATATACAAGTATGAGCACAGCACACAGCTTGGGCTCTCAACTGGACCCACGCGGGGTGCCACTCGTCGGTGATGGCTCAAACCAACGGGTCAATTAACGTGTCGACGTCACGGAAAGCTTAGAGATAAGACCTTTAAACTGTCCATATACTCCCATGGACCACATATTCAAAATTTCCCCACAAAACAAACAGTAAGTACTGGGCAGCTGTAGCCGCGCCACCCTCCATAATCAACTCAATATTTTTTTTTTAACAGTTAAAAATGTTTAGATCAATTTATGTGTACTTCTATTAATTTTTTCTTTGATTCGATTAAAGATATACCATCCATGTTGGTACTAAGAAATTACACACAACTCGATATCCCATGCATACTAGATCCCTCAATAGTATTGAAAAGTAATTTTTTATTATATATGATGATGGTTTTCTAACTATGAATTTTAATTCAAACTATTTATAAAATAATAAGGTAAAGAGAATTTTATATTTGTTACATTCCCCCATTCTGTTAGAAAGTCATGCTTTCATTATAAAAATGTATGTTACGAAAAATAGTATTGAACTTATAGACAAATACATGGAACCAACTAATGTTTGGGCCCTCATGCAGGTTAGGTGGCTTTTGTCTTCTAACCCTTTACAGGTATCCATGACCCACCTAAAGCAACTCACTCTTCTCAAATAAACACCTCCCCACACTGGATATCAGATCATAGAACTTACGTGGCAATACCAAATCAGATCATGATCCTGGGTCCCACTGTCCCTGACCCATCTTGCTTTTTTTGTACATTTATAATTTGGATTGTCTATGATAGATACCCAAAATAATTCAACCTATAGAGACATGATCACATGCAAACAGCTGCAACTCAGGGCTTTGTCATTGTACCTTATTTGCTTATTTTGTTCCACTTATGCATAAATTAAGAAGAAAGCAATGATACAATTCACACTACCATACTCTTTTCTTTGTGTGTGTGTGTGTGTGTGTGTGAGAGAGAGAGAGAGAGAGAGAGAGAGAGAGGGTAGGGTAGGTGGGGTCAACTTTTCGGACCATAGCTTGACACTATCCAAGGTTGGTTTATATAACAGGTTAAGTAGGTAGCAGACATTGAAGAATATTGAATTGTATGAAAAGAATTGATGTCTATTCAGGTAACTAACAGGCCTTCAAGGCACCACTGCTTCTTCAAGCTGAAGTAAACAAACTGATTACAGCAATGTGACCCACACAAACCATACTCACCAACCCAAACCTGCAAATCACTTTACTTCGCTTATTTCCCAAATCTACAATGCAAATCAACAGCTATCTATACATACCCCAATGGGTCCGAATTGACTTTGAATCCTTGGTGCTCACGTGGAACTTGATACCAAATTTACTATGTGTCAAGGCTTAATGGCTTATCAACCCATGCATTTTCAGCAGCAATCCTTCCTGAACCGCGGCCACCAATTTTGCCAAACGAGCTAACTGCTGATAAGCCCTTAAAACTGCTGCTTCCCTCGCTGAAGTTCCGTGACCTCCTTGACCTTTTGAGCTTTGGGGAATTTAAATCGCATTCAGTATTTTGGTCGGTTTTAACCTCTGCAACAACCAACCGAGCAATGCAGCTACGACAAAAAGGGCAAACTGGCGCGGTTAGGCATGCAGTTGTTGGATTTGGTTTGTTATAACAGCACAAGGCTAGGGTGCATTGTGCACACATCCGGTGGCCACATTCTTGGACTTCAATTGTGCAGACTTGATCGAAGCATATGCAACACAGCTCCGTGTCACTGGCCTGCATGAAATTATTCTTCCAGTGAACGAGACATAACCATTACTATTTACAATCTGTAACATTTTAGAGGAATATGGTGGCATAAAAATTGCTCACAGTTCTTCTCTCAATATGGCATCTGTTTATGGTGATATAGAAAAGTCGGTTTCCGTTTTGATGAGATATAATATGCGAACACTTGAAATTGGATACAATCAAAGTTCATGGATCCTTAAACTGCGGATTTTAGGGTCCAGAGCATATAGAAAAAATTATGAGTTTTGACTGTTCTTGTTCAGCATGGATTACTCTTTTGCACACACAACAAATTAAGTTAAGACAAGGTGGAATATTATAATTTTAGAATTTGACATTTCCTTCTGGTGATGAAATTTTGTCCAACTTAGACCATTTCTAACATATAATTTTCAGCATAGGTAAAATTCAAAAATTTAGGATTATGTCTCTGTTTTGACCAAAACCCGAATCAATTTGATCCAAAACTCAAACCCTTCTAAAAAAAAGTGAGCATGATGAAATACCTCGGAGATGCTGTCATCAACACCAACATCAGAATGGGAAGGAGATGGTGGCATGTAAGTTGTCCCCTTTAAGATGCTCTTCTCCCTCTCCTTATTTGCCTCCATTAAGGCCTGCTCTAATAAAGCTTTTGCATCCTGATTAAGCTCACTAATGAACTTCAAAGGCGATGGCCAGACAAGAGGCTCAGCAGATGAAGGATTCAGCAAGGCTGCACATGCTCCATGCTTATGTTTTAGAGCAACTGTGTATGGTATTCTCCTGCATCGCGTGCATCGGATAAGAAATAAGATCATTTACTAACCTAGAAAAAGTCATATCAAAGGAAGAGAAATATATAGAGTTCACAATATACACACAATAAAAAACAAGGTGCTCTCCATGAGTCCATGTTTGGCATCTAACTTTCAGCTTCATATCCACTCAAGAATAAGGTCAATTTTATCAAGGGCGTTAAGAGAGATGAAATATTCCCCCCCACAAAAAAAAAAAAAGGGGTGAAACTTGGGTCTCAAATCAAATCAACAAGTATTTCAACTGTACAGTGCACCTATGAATGAAAATCACTTATCAAGCAGCATATTATAAATTAACATGTACAAACTAGTATTCATATTAAAACAATATCGGAATTAATGATCAGGAGTTTGGACCAAAAAAAAAAGTAGAAAATCTTTATGCTTTGAACTTGTATTCCTGTATAAGATCCATTTCAGAAAGGATGAACATTTGATGGAATTAGTATGAATATCCAGCAACATGACATAGGATTACTTTTTTTTTTTTTTGATCCAAGACACAGGATTGCTTAATCTCCATTTATTACAAGGATATGTAATTACACCAGTTACACGAGTCTAGATATTGTGGCTTCAACAACTAAGAGGGAATGGAAAATTACCCAGATGCATCTCTATGAAGTCGATCAGAACCCCAGGCCAACAATTCACGGATGCAATCTAAGGAACCCCCTCTTGCAGCCAAATGAAGTGGAGTACTACCCGGGAATCTGTATATTGCAACTTATCAATATAAAAGCCACACTAATGCCATAGCTAAAGAAAACAAAGACATTTCAAATATAATACCCGTATCCACCAGTCGTGGCACAAACCAGGGCACCATTGTCTAACAAAATATGCACACATTCAGGCCGTCTTTGACGAGCTGCCAAATGCAATGGGGTTGCTCCTTTACCATCTCTAATATTCACAAATCGAGAAAATCCCCTGGAACCCAATTCAATTCATCTGAATTAATGATGATAAATTGGCATATCGGTCTATAAACAGAAAGAAACACAAAATCAATCTAGAAAGAGAAACAAACCAAGAAATGGAAACTTGGGAGTTGTGGGCAGCGGAGAGAATGGCTTGGAGGCAATCAGTATGGCCGTAGTATGCAGCATAGTGCAAGCATGTTCGTCCATTTAGTGAATCAAACATCAAAATCTGACTCAATTTCAAAAAATACAGACACATCAGTTTCCACTTCAACGCTCTTAAAGACGAAGAGTATGAGGAGAGAGAGAGAGAGAGAGAGGAATGTGGCATACATTGGCCCCAGCTTGAATTAGCTTTTGCACACAAGAGATCTTCCCATGCATTGCAGCCAACATCAACGGAGTCTATACCGTTCAAAACCAGTGAGAGAACAGACAGTGAGACGAAAATCAAAGATTAGACAAGTAACCACAGGATAAATCATTTAGAAAAACAAAAAGAATAAAATATCGCATTAGGCTTGCACGCTTAGGAACCTAAAAGGAAAAGATTCAATCTTTCCTTTCCCTACAATTGCTTCATTAACCAAATCAAGCATAAAGGCGCAAAAGGCTCACCTGCTTGTGTCGATTCAACAAATCTGGATTAACAGATCCATCCAAAAGTATTGAAACAATCTGAATCCGGCCCCATACAAAAGAAAACCCATTACTCAAAACCCATCAAAACGAATGACAAACATTCAATTTCGATCAAAAATCAAGAAAAATTCCAAGAACCAACCTCGATCCGGCCATTGGCAGCAGCGATATGAAGAGCAGAGTGGCGGTCGAACACTGTGGTCCGGTGAATAAGAGACGGGTCTCTCTCTAACACGGCCTCAACCGTATCTAAATCCCCGAACTGAACAGCTGTGAAAAGACCATGTTCATCACTTGTTCTGCAACTAAGCCCCTGACCCATTCTTCGTCCACCCTCTCTCTCAAGCTTATATATGTATAGATGTCAGTGGTGGCGCCGTCAATCCCAACGGAGGAACTCCACCATATTTCATGCACCACCTTTGGTGTAGGTGGTGGTGGCTGAATGGTGAAGTTTTACAATCAAGTAGTGTCGTCAATGAGGGAGGCGCTTGAAGGAGGGATTTATTGGAGTTTGGAGCTGCCCATGGTGGGGATTGGGGGAAGAGCGGGCAGTTGACCGTGTCAGAGAGATGGTGAAATAGGGACTGGCAACGGGCAGCAGTCAGATATTTTAGCGGGCAGTTAGATTCCATAAATAATAGAATAGAAAAGAAAAGAATAACACATATCGTCAAGTGGTCAGTCAGTCTTACAGTATTTAGTCTTGCGTCCATTGGCGAGTTTTCACACGCCACAGTATTTATTCCAAAGGTTGCAACAAATTACAGTCGGATTATCTAACATAGGATTAAGTAGAGTTTCAAAAATCCTCTATTAAAATAATTATTTTATCAAATTATATCTTTATTTGAGTCATTTATGATAGTTGATTTTTTTAAAAAAATTACGTGTCATTTTGTGATTAGTTCCGAAATCATGACCCACCAACATAAAATTTAGATATATTAACGGTATATTTTACAACATATGTACAAATAATTCCTATGACCATATTTGAGTTTTTGAAATGATAATGTTTTGATTAATATCTACAAATTTTAGATATGAGTTTGGTGAGAAATAATTTATATGGTTGTATGAAGGCCTATCAATGGATTAGATTCGAACCAGATTTATTCCCATTTGAATCTGAATTCGATTAAAAAATTTGTTATCGACTCTAATCTGTTTACCTGACGAATAAAAAAATATTAGTTCTGATTCGAATCATCTTATAATCAGACATCCAATCCATAATGGTATTTCACCAAAATTTTAATAAATATGTTTTTAAGATCAAATATAAATAATAAATATACACATATTTTTTTAAGATCAAATATAAATATATATATATATATATATATTAATATATTATATGTATATATTAATTGAATCAAAATTTATCGCATCAAATTTGTGTATATATATTCATATCATATTTAAGATATTTAAGAATATTGATCACTATTTAGTTAAAAGGATTTGGGTTCAAATTGGATTTGGACTGAAATATGATCCATTGACAAGTTTAGTTGTATGCATGTTGAGTTCACATAATAAATATGAATTATAAAGTATGGGACTGGATCGACTTTTGACTATAAAATAAAATATCATGTATTTTACATAATATGCTAATTTAGAAAACAAAGGGTTGAACTACAAGAGATTCATCATGGAGTGAAAATGGCTGCTCAAAAAAAAAATCATGGAGTGAAATTTGGGCTATGGGAATGCCTTGTTCTTGCAATTTGAATTCTATTTATGGATGATATATTTGTTATAGACTTATTATTAGTAGTAATTCACTCTATAAAAGGGAAACAACCTATAATAAACAACATGCTTTAAAATCAAAGAGAATAGCATACCTAATAAACTATTCATTATGCGTATAATGGACATGTACAGTATATAAAAATTAAAATAATATTTGGGTAAAGTTGTAAATACAAATGTTTTAAATTTGAATCTTGGCAATCCTTTAGGACAGGTTATAAGGAATTTATCTCTTATGAATACACTAGACACTAGTCGTGACATGGACGGTCTGTCTTTGATCAAATCACGAAAAAAATTAGTCAAAATGTACGTAAACTGACCCGAACACATCTGACCGTTAAAAAAAAAAACAAACAAAATACTGGGCGAAGGGTGGTCAGATGGGACATGCAGATGAATGGAATTGGACAAAACCTTTTGGTATAATAAATGAATTCTTTTTAAAAAATAGAAAATGACAAGAATTTTTTTTTCAATCTCTCTCTTCTAAATTAATTGTAACAATAGTATACAATATACATATTTAATAACATGATTCCCTTCCTAGGTGAAATAACATAAAAGCAAAGAAACTTCCTACTTGCCAACCCAAAATAAAAAATTTATACTCGAAAGTACAAGGAAAGTTCAATTTTCTTCCCTGATAAGCAGGAAAGTTCATTATCATGTTGTAACATCGTTGTACCGTTGTATCATGGGAATTTTAACATTGGGGCTGAGAAAGTTTGAGAAAAAAAACTATAAGAATAAGACATTCAGTTTATCATGGGATTTTTTCAATTTCATTAAGAATTGAAGGATTTAACACTTTTTGAAATTTTAAATGTTCAAGAATTACGCATATGAATAAACTCGATTTATTTCAAAATACTTTGAATTTTTGAAATCAATATTAATGGTGTGTTTTGCACAGCTAAGCAAAGGTGAACTATTTGGAGATTTGGAGATCATTAGAGTGTCCGGTCAGAGCTTCTAGGCTCTTGGGGGTTGAGTTATAGATCCAATTAAATAGAAAATGGATAGATAGAGAATTTATACTAGTTCATCAGCTCGAAAACTTAACTAGTTCACTCTAATGGAGTCTCTTGCTCTTTATTAATGAGGAAAAAGATTACACGGAGTAGATTCACAAATAATTTTTTGATTCTAAATGTGAGGGATTTAATAACTATTTATAGTGTACAATTGTCTTGTGTGATCTTTGCTATCATTTCGTAATTAATGTCATCCTAACATAATCAACATGATTTCCCTTGAGGCGGTTATGATCCATGTGCCAGAATATTTGGCCATCACATATTATATTTCTTATTCGTGACGTGACCTTGTGGAGGGTGCCAACTATTATAGTTATCGCATGCACGAGGGTCTCGTTGCTGAAGAGTCCTGACCTGTACATCCCGAGCTAATGATCATGAACTACAGGTTTGAACTTAAATACCCGCGCGCTGGGATCAAACCTTATAAGCTCGACTAATTTTTGATATCATCAAATACCAAATTGAATTTGACCCCAACAACCACTCAATAAATAATCAAAGATTCTCCGGTTCTAATAAAAGTGAAGAGAAGCGTACCTAATCACCTCATATCTTTCACCCCACGAGCCTTACTCATCACATTGATACCTTTCGCACCCTCCATCCCATCTCTCTCTCTCTCTCTCACACACACACACAGGGGCGGAGCCAAAAATTCTTTTCAGTGGGGGAAACCATCAAGTTTAAGAGAACCGCAGACAACCATCAAGTTTAAGAGAATGATTATTCAACAATTATCAAAATTCGTTGCATCTAGTGAACATATTTATTATCTCAAAATTTCGTTCTCTATATAAAAAAATTTCCTAATCTAACACCTTTTATAAAATAACAATTCACATTATTTTTTTAACTTTTAAAGATTTCACATATAAATACATGTGAAAAAATGATAGTCGACTATGAAAAATTAATATAATTTTTTTTAAAACATTAGAATAAAGACAGTTTTCATAGAAAATGCTATTTTAACATATCATTTTATAAGTGTACTTGTCAATGATAAGATTTTGACTCATCCGAATGACAATTTGTTTTGAAAACCCTATTTTGTATCTAATCTAAATATTCAATTGATTTCGTTTTTTTAATCCATATTCGAATCTATTAAATATTATGAATTTTATCAAAAATCCAATCTTATATATGTGTGTGTGTGTTGCATTGTAATTTTAATTCAATTTAATTGTTTAGTTTTATCAAATGTTTACATATACATATTTGTATATGCATATCAAATTGAATCGAAGTCCATTGAATTGAATCATAATTAAATCAAATTTTTTTATGCGCCCAAATCTAAAATTTTAGAAAATGATGTAGTATATTTGAATTTGGATAATTGGTCAAAAATATATATCTATGTCTTAGTAATCGAATTCGGAGAAGGATTGATTCGGTAACTCAAGTGAGTCATTGTAGAAGGAATAAAGATAACTAGAGATTAAATAAAAATTTGAGATTAAGTCTCTACGAGCGAACCTTGAGTCTAAATTTTTAGTGCATTAAAAAAAATGAGTGGGAGCAAGTGATTAAAAAAATTAATTTTTATTATAATTTTAAATCAACTCTACAAATTTTCAGAATTTCAGTGAGGAAATTTGCCCCCACCCAGCCTCCGCCCCTGCACACACCACATAAAAAAGCAAGTTTTATTCCAAGCAAAGTATCATCCTAAGTAAATATTCTCCGCATCAAATTGTTATGCAAGAAATTCCCCATTGTTAAATTATAAACAAACAAAGTAAAGTATTTCTCAGCCATTAACTCTTATATTTAATTTGTCGGTGCAATTAATTTCTTCGGCCCAGATGTCATAATCCAGTCCTTTATACAATAACAAGGAGGGTACTGTCTGAGGGTGGTCTTTGAACACTGTTTTCCACAATCTCACATGGTCTGTGAATCAATAGTACTGAGTGTAGGACCCCCATCACCCCATACATGGGTCCGGTTTTTCAGGATTTCAGAGGTGAAAAAACCATGACAATTCGACATGTAAAAAATAAACCAGAGGACAGGATTAAAGTTTAAATTTTTAATTCTAATATATAAACATAAAACAAATGAGAGAACTATCACCTTCAAATTTAATTTAACATATAAGCATAAAAAAGAGGAGAGACCAACCAATTTTATAACATATTAGTTAATCTTTAAGTTCTCAAATTGCTAATATCATCTAACATAACTATCCTTAAATCATTTTTACATTACAAGTAAGACCCATATATTTATCAAAATTACATAACTATCCTTATATCTTTTTTTAAAAAAAAACAGTGGAGGCAAATCTCTAATAAATTCAAAAAATTTTAAAATTCCAATTTTTTTTAAAACTCCAGTGGGGGCAGCTAGCCCCACTATGGATCCCCCATTGCATGTAAGATCATCTTCTGCTATAAGCATAATGATAACAAGGGTTTTTAGGGTCTATTTTTATTGTTGAAAATTGTATACATATGCGGAAGTGTAAAATCAAAAGACATGCCTCAATTGTTTTAACCTTGAATTG